TTCAGCAACTTTGATTGAGCCAGTCATAAATGAATATGTGGAAAATTTACAGAAAAATTGTGATACATTTGCTGAATTTATTGAAATTTGGAACATGCATAAACATTCGGAAAGTTTTCTTCCAAGTGTGATTTTTAGTCTTTTTTCCTCCCAAAAAAAAACTTGAAATTTCAATTCAAAAGATTGAAGCTGAATTGTCCAAGATCTCACGTCCAATTCTGCTCTCATATGAAGAAATTGAGGAAAATAAAATACATTTTACCACTGCAATTCGTGACGATGTCCACAGAAATTTTTATTACTCGATTATGCAAGCCAATCAACGATTAACAATAAATGAACTGAAAAAAAAATTGGATGAGTTCATAGGAAAAAATGGACCAAACAGGTATTGCAAAGGAACACCGGCATGTCTCATTGATGGCAAGAAAGAATGTAAAGCATCGGGCCCGAGTGATTATGTCTTATCTCATGTCCAAAATGCCATGGAAATTCCAAATGTTTGTTATTATTGTCGAAAGAAAAATTTCCGAATCGCTCAATTCAAAGATCATTTTATAAAAGTGCACTGGGCTCTGGGATTTGGGGAGAGGAAAATTACAGAGGCTTATTCCTCAGACATTGACTGATTTCATTGACTCTTGATTTTCAATTTAATTTATTTTGCAAATTCTTGATTCTTTAAAAAATTTACACATTTGTAATTATAAAACAATAAAGTTATGTTATATTTTACTTTGGCTTGTAGAAGACTTTAATTTAGCTCAAATTAGCTTGATAGTCGATAAAATGTTCTTTCTAATGGCTCAGAATCGTTATTAGGGTGATTTTGGCTTTTTGAAATGTTTAGTTAGTAACGCTTTTATTCCATCAAGGAATTCAAAAACCTTTCTTAGATTTTTTGGTACATAAGTTGTAGCGAAATCAAAAACAGGATATTTTTCACTAAATCTTGAAGCAGCCAATTTTTCTACGTATTTTGTTGCTCAAAATCGTATAGAAAAAATTCGCCGGTTCTTTCATCAAATAACAAAATTTCCGATGCTGATTTCGCAGCTAAATACAAACCACTGTGCTCACGCCCTTTTGTTGCAATCGCGTTTAGTCGTATGGTTGTTTCTGCACCTGTTTCACAGTTGAAGACTTTTAAATTAATCTTTTGAGCTAAAATGAAAATATTATTGGCAAAAAGTGTGACTCGGAATTCGTTGAGAGTTTGATTTTCTAAGGCCTTCTCAAGTTCAGATAGGTCGCAGGAATTTGTTGATTTTAATTCTAAAGTGGGACCACAGCCGTTGAATAAAATCGTATCTTTCAAAGAATCTTGTAAACATCTTCCGCGTAACGGGCAAGCAAATTTTAATCTATAACTCTTAAGAATAACTCCGTTCGTAAATATTAAAATTTGACTGTATCAGCATAAAAATTTCTTATTATTTCAATTTGATCAAAATACTCTAATTCGTGAAAGAGAGCCAAATGGTCTCTTTGTCGGCCAGCCATACCAGAAAGCTTTCGCCTGACACGTAGATTTCTAGTAGTAAAAACATAATCAATTCGAGACGGATCAAAACCTTGAAAACCGTGGTATATTTTAGTTGTTTCGATCGGGATCAGATCAAATACCGTTTCAAACGAGCCAAGGAAGCCAACATTCAGCCGTTCCCTGAGATTACGCAAAGGAGGGTCTACAGAATTTTTCACTTTTTCATCCTTGGGATTAAGGACACTTACGGAAATGAACTATTCAGTATAAAATCACCATCTTAGTCAAACAGGGCTTCCGCGGGTGACTTGGGGCAACAAAGAAATGTCGGCCATTATATGCTAGCTGAGGGAGAAAATCTTCTCCGTCATAAAATGGCCGACCCGCTAATAATCAACCAATTGTGGCCTTTCCTTACCTACTTGAGGTAGGGAAAGGTAGTGCTTACCTGGTTAAACCAGTTTTTCTTACAATAGTTCCATCTGAGAAAAATGTAGAAATTAGTATCGATAGTATCGATGAGCTTTTCATCAGCTGTTCACTATTATTAATCATGGTTAAGAGAGCAATCTAACCAATATAAACCACTGCACTGCATTCATTAGGGGTTGTTCGTGGTTAGATTGCTCTCTTAACCACTAACAACCACTACATTCATTGAAGACTAAAAATTAAGTTTAAGATCGAAACAAAATTTCTGCTTCAATTTATAGGAATTCGGATAATTAGTATTCCGAAATAAGTAAATGAAACATTAAATGAAAGATAGCAAAATTTTAACACTTGTCTTTATTGGTTTTATAATTACAAATTAACTTTTTTTAAAAAATTGAAAAACAATGTTTGTAAATTCGATAAATTCTTTTATAAAATGATCTTTGAATTGAGCGATCCGGAAGTTTGTCTTTCGATGATTCGGTGACTTATCGATCATATTGCGAATACACTGCAAACCAATGATTAAAATAAAAACGAGTGTCAAATAAAGTTCAAATTTTATTATTTCCACGTCATATCAAGCAAAATAGTCAAAATAATATTAGGATTCAAGTGTTTTCAAATTTTTGATAACGGTTGAACCCTGATTGCCGAAATTTACATAAAAAGTTTTGGCCGCTCGATTGGTTGAACTTCTGACCAATCTAATTGTGAAATTGCTGTCAGCCTTCAACAGTTTCTTTTGTGAATGATGATAAACTCAATAAACGCCATTATGCCAAGATCATAATCTGTCCAATCCAATATGTGTATAAAATGCTTGGACCGAGAGTTGACGAGTTAGTCTAATGCCAGCAGAATATTAAAATTAATATCAATGTAAAATTTAGATCTTTCAATTAAATCTCAAATAAGTGATAAGTCTAGTCAGTTGAGTCTGGATACAATTAAGACTCAATTTGATTAAGTTCATATAGTCTACAATGAAACACATTTTTTTAGAAAAATTGATTTGAGTTGGAATTGAGATTCAGAATAAATCCAACAGATGCTGCTAAAGTCTTGAATAACGAACTAAAGTCTAAAGAACTGCAACTTGGTCAATGTTTTTCATCAACTATCAATGAATTTGCTGACACACAATAAAACTTCACGTTATCGACGGACATAATGTGACGATGCTTCAGAATCCTTTCACTCAAATATTACTTAAGCTGCTCACTTAGAGGCTCATGGGCAATGGTCACTCTGATCTTTTTTAGCGAAGAAAAATTTGCTCTTCAGATTGGATTTCAACCCAAAAAATTTCAAAAATTTAACAGAACTTCTATCTTGACCAATTTCGAACTTTGTAAATTTTTATAAATTTAAATTCAAAGCACCAATTAGAACTTTATTTTGTTCCATTTTCCTACTGAACTATTTTTTCTCATCTCTAGAAACTTGGTATGTTCGAGATGGTGGCACTCAAAAATTAACGTAAGTGTGTCCCTTTTTTTGTTAACTTAACCCTGACCACTACTGTAGTGAAAAATATACAACTGAGTAAACTGAACCGGTGGTCAGTTTCAAACCAAATCAGATCGAAACCAGATCAGAATCAAATTAAGCGTATTCACGATTAACATTCTGGAAAAGATTAACATTATTTTATCCCAAATAGTCTGAACCAAGACAAACAACTAACATAAAATATGAAAATATCCGCATGTATAATGACAATGGCTTTCAATCATCACCTGACGATCGAAAGCACCTTTTAGTTCACAGAACGCCCGTAATCTCAGAACAGTGGAATTCGCAAAAATCGGTTACGAGGGAATCTTTATGATTACTTGAAATTGTGTGATTGACTTAAAGAAAATCGTTAATATTGGTAAACTTTTTCTCTATTGAAAGTTCGAAAAAACCCAAACTGACTCTAAACAATAGTCCATTAGTCGCTCCATCCAGTCCATCAGTAATCTTAAATAGGCCGAGCGCATTACATGGCACCCTGACATTATACACGCGGATAAAACAATTCAAGTAAACCAATTTGATTTGATTTTGTTGAGAAAATGAATTTACATTAAAAAACAAATACAGATGAATGCCTTTGGCTTGACTTTCCAATTTAATCATCACACATTCAACCAAATAAGGATATTGACAAGTTGAGACTCTGTTCAGCCAACACTACGAATAAAATGATTTAAAATTAAAGCGTTAAAATACAATAAAGTGCAAGTGCATTGAAAAGTTAAACCCAAAAGTCTCCACCTAAACAGTGTAAATTGTAACTTTAATTGTGAATCCAAAAGGTAAACAATTTAAAATGAAATGAAACAATAATAAAAACAATGAAACTTCTCAGTAAACCATTAAGAAACTGTCGAGACTCGAGTTTAATTTAAAGGTAAAATGTTGATCGGAAAAAGTAAGATTTGAAAGCAAATATTGATTCAGCAGCTAAAGGTTAAAATGGTGATTAAAATGATTGATTAAAAGCCATTCAATTCGCAGCGAAAATTCAAATCAAAACATTTACAGTAAACACGATTAAATGACATTTCATGATGTATTACAGTCTAACATTTTTATCATACATTTTTTTTCTGACTCAGTTATTGTAATATTAAACTGTAAAGATAAAAATAGTTTGCGACATTCTTGAACATGCCTTTGACATGAAACATCAACATGAGACTGAGGGAAACTCACTCACAAAAAGCGATATTCAAAATGATTATTGATGTTTACTGTGATCCGGATGATTATGGTGATGATGAGTGAAAATGGTTGATAATCGGTTGACAGTTTTGCTTCACTTTTTTCTCTGTATCGCAATTTAACATTTATCTTTTTTTTGTTCCCTCTAATAATCATCTTCATTGCAATTCAATCAATCAATTTCGTCTTTTCATATTGTCATCTCATCTTAACCATGTTCAATGTAATCATTTGTTTGGCCCAACAGAGTCCGACAGAGCCCAACACGGTTGAACAATCAAAACGAAAGAAAAGGTTTTTTTTCGCCTTTTGCAACAACTTTTCTTTTCGTTGGTAAAAAAGTGTAACAGAAGTAAAAACTTACCCATTTCGTGTGCCTGCTTTCATGATTGCTATTCATGGATATCAATTTGATTACAATTAACAAGAATAAGCTGGGAAAATGTATAATTTAGTCGACTTGATTTGATTGTGATTGGGAAAAAATGATTTTCGATCGCAAGACTGTCTTCGATTCAGCTGAGTAAACTGTAAGGCAAAAAAGGTTCGTTTTTTGAACAATTGCTTTGCTTCTTTTATTGATATTAATCAATGTTTAAATAAGTTTGTTATTCATCGATGTTTCAGGTTAAATCTGATCAATCTGCTTTTCAATGTTTTGTCTGGAAAATTTCATTACCAAGTTTTTACGAAAAGAAGTTACGAGTTTTCAAGAAAATCGTTTTTTCTGGTATTCTTGTATTGTTTGGGACACTTCACACCATTTACAATTGGGCCAAAGATGATCACATTGATGATGAATGATGAAAGGAGGAAAAGGTAGGAAGAGATTTAAGAAGGAAAACGCAATATTATTGGGTGAATAAAGTGTATTCATAGTAAAAGCTGATTTAAATTGCATAAATAACAATTTATACAGTTGCACTGAAACTCAAAAATTTCAATTTCTAACTGTATTTGCTTGAATAAATATATTGTCGGCATTTCATTCAGTGAAAGCTAGATTAACATGAAAGACAGGAGAAGGCACATGAAAAAAAGATGAATTGCAATGAGAAACAAAGTGCAATATTCAAGGAAAAATGAAGTTCAAAGAAAATCATAAATACTCATAGATACTGTAGAGATCAATTCAATGTCTCTGCTATTTAAATGGAAATATGAACTTTTCTGGAGATGAAACTGAAAGAAAAGTTCACGCACAAAAACAACTGGACAATCAACATTGGTTGACCATAAATGATGCATTAAATTTACAGAACTCAATGACTACTGTTCAAACAAACTCGAATAATTTCAATGTGCTTTCGAAGTCCAGTGATTTTCGATAATTCTTTTTCAAAGGAATTTTCTTTTCACAATAAATATTTTCTTTTTCATCTGTAAGAAAAGCGCGAATTCATCTCGAATTACCAAGCTGATCGCATCCATTATCAATCGAAAGACGAATAGTGAAACTGTTAGGGTTGTAGGATCTAAACTAAGATCACAATCAATCAATGATTGAAAGCGTACCGAGATCGGGGGGAATCCGTGGCTTAAAGCTGCGGATTAATGATTAGGCACACGTTGCTAACAACACTTTATATTTTTGAGAATCTCGTTTAATTGTGTTAAAGGTGAGAGAGCACTTTGGCTATTTACAATAAAGGAATGATTTATAAAATAAGATTTAAGATTGAGATCAGAGGAAGGTTTTGTACTAAGGAATAGTTGATAAGATTTAAGAGTAATTTTTAAGGAATTGAGTTCAACATAAAATAAGACTAAAATGTCACAGTGACTGAGGGGTAATTATTGGCAGCTAATAATGAATTAAAGTTGACTTAATTAAGGACAGTGATGAACTAACTAACAAGGAAAAAAGGAAGTAGCTTTTATGAGAAAAGTTTAAAGCTTGTGACCAATTATTAACCAATGAGTAAAGAGTAGAATATGACAAGATAGTTTGATTGAGAAATAGTTTAAAAGGGGAAAGAATCTAATTTGTATGTCGACCCCTTACAAAACCAATTATATTCCTACAAAAATCATGTTTTCATGAAATGAGCAAAAAACTTGTCTCTTTGGACTTTTCGTAGAAAATCTTTCGGCAGATTTGCGTTCTACTACAAAACACAGATCTCGAATAAATCTTATTTTGAGTTGTAAGTGTTTATGTTTTCCGTTCACAACAAGAAGAGTAACGGGCTTCAATATTGACGACCAGTTATCCAATCTGGTCAAATTTTGTGAATAATACAAAACAAGAGATTAAACGATCAGAAAATTGAAACAATTTATCAATGTTCAAAGAAGAATGAAAAAGAAAAAAAATTGAATCTAAATTTAAATTATTTTCTGGATTATTCAAAGAGAAACTGTTTGTCAACTTTTTACTGCAAAATGCATATAAGATGCTTATTCTGATGCTATTTTAGATGCTGAACCTTTTTTTGTTGTTGATTTACCTTTTGCTTTATAATACAAAAACATATTGTCTGTGCAATAGTTAAAGTTTAAAATGATGTCTAACACTTTGTTTACCTTACAAGGGAGGTGACCCACCTGGTACGCTTTGATTCGGTAAGTTGATGATGAATCGATGGAAATAAGTTGGAAAAG